TATCATATAAGTATTATCTATTATTAATTTATTTATTTTATTATTAATTTTATATAATATTAATTTATTATTTAAAGTTATTATATCTGTTCTATATTTTTAAGTACTAAGTATCATTAATAAAGAATAAGTTTAAAATATAATCTCTTATTTATTTTTGATTTAGTTTTCTGTGTGAATTCTATTTCAAATAACATCACTTTATATCTTGAATCTTCTGTGTGAATTTTCCTAATATAATACTATATTCTAATTTTTTTATGTAAATTATCTGGATATATTATACTACGTAACAAGAAGATTATAGGTTATATCATATGTTACATCACATCTACTATATCACATAAATAGATAATTAATTATAGAATTTCTGGCTTTAAGAGATTTACTCTATAAATTTTTAATTATTATTGATAATAATAATTAACTTCAAGTTATTAAACTTAATATATAACTTCAAGTGATTATTATTATATGAATTCTTCAAACTTTTTCTTTTTTATTTCTAGGCTCCTTTATTATAAACTTTATGAATATAGAATGATTCTTTCTATTTTTTACCAAATTTATCATAATATCAATATTAAATTTCTATTTATTTCATTAATACTTTCTATTTTATTTGAAAAACTATTAATTTTTATTTCTTATCATATCATTCTTTTTATTTTAACTATTCTTCTTGAATATTACTAAGAACTAGTTTTCATGTAATTTCTAATTTATCAATTAATTCACATATTCTTTTGATGAGAGCTTCTTTAAAAGTAAGACTATCAAAATCTTTTAGTTTAATATCTAATGATATTATTATCTATCAATTATATATCAGCTAAAAGAGCTCAAATAAGATTGTACTTTATTTCATTATTCTATAAGTAAATAAAATTAAAAATAGGTAGTGATTTTAATCTTTTTTATAAAGTTAAATATACTTTGATAGTGAAATATATAAAGTTCAATTCAATCTTTTAACTAGTCTATTAGTTTAAGAATAATAAGAAGCAGAAAGTCTATGCTTGATCTGATATTTTTCTAATAATTTTTTGATTATTTCATTAATAAATAAGTTTCTCTATCACTGAGTATTTCTTTTAAAAATTCATATCTTATTACTATATCTTTATAGAGAAATAGAATAATTAAAATTACAAAAATATTTGTGATAGGTCTTGCTTCAACTTATTTAATTAAATAATCTATAATGATTACAATATAATAATTTCTATTACTAGTTATTAAGAAAAATTCTACTAGATCAATTCTAATCTTTTCAAAAGATGCATTCACTTGAATTAGTATTATCTTATTATTATTATATAATCATCCTTTTTATTAACATATATTACAGACTTTAATATATGTATTTATATTTCTATATATCTAAGGTTAATAATAATTTCTTATTATTTGATTGTAAGTAATTTTAATTTTAAAATATTCAGATAAAATATTAAAATAATTATTATAGAGAACTAATTCAACTTCTATTAACTTAATAATTAATTATAGATGATTAATATCCAGTCTATTTCTTTTATATAATTTATAATTTTATATAAAATATTTCTTTGATTCTGCTAGCAGTCATTTCCATTTTTTCTTTAAGAATTCATCAGATATTATTAGTATGTTAAAATAATTATATAATTTTACATAATTATCCAAATTCATATTTTATTATTTTCTTCTTTAGATGAAAGTAATATTTTAGAAAGTGAATTAATATTTGAATAGATTCTATCAGATTTATGTTCAACTTTAAAATTATATTCATGTAAGATCATTATTCAGTATGTTAATCTTCCAAAGGAATTTGACTTATTAATTAATTACTTTAATACTGAATAATTAATAATTAATGTAAATGAGATGTTAAATAATAAATATGATCTGAATAATTTGACTACTCAAATTACTTCAAGACATTCTAATTCTGTTATACTATATTTACTTTTCTCTTTATTAACTCTTCTATTAGCATATATAATAATATGTTCCTTCTTTTTACTATCATATTATGCTAGTATAACATCTAATTTAAGTTCAAAAGCATCAGTAAAAAGAGTGAAAAGCTTTGTGAAATCTGAATAGATGTTAACTGATAATGATATCAAATACTTCTTAAGTGACTCAAAAGCTTTCTATTATTTTTCTATTTACCTAAATTCTTCATTCTTTTTGAATAACTTGTGAAGAGAGATTGCTATTTTGATGAAATCTTTTATAAATCTTCTGTAATAACAAGTAAGTCCAACAAATTCTCTTAATAAAGTGAAATTAATAGGTACTGAAAATTCTTGTATCTTCTCTATTTTAGCTAAATCAGGACAAATATTATCTTTTTCAATAATATATTCTAAGAAGAATAATTAATTTTTTCCAAAAGCATATTTGTCTGGTTGAAGCTTCAGATTTACTTGCTGAAGTTTTTCCAAAGTCTTTTGTACATAAATTAAGTATTCTTTTCAGATTTCAGAATATATGATAATATCATCAAGATATATAATGATGAACTTTCCAATATATTTTTTAAAGATTTTGTTCATTAATCTTTGAAATGTTGCTAAAGTATTGGTAAGTCCAAATGGCATTACATTAAATTGGAACAATTCTTTGTTAATGATAAATATGATCTTTTCTCTGTCTCTTGAATGCATTTTCACCTGTCAAAATTCACTGGCAAGATCCATAGTGATAAAGTATTTTGTATTTTTGAATGAGTCTAGAAGCTCATCAATTCGTGATAGAGAATATTAATTCTTTGTGACTTCATTCAACTTTCTATAGTCCACACACAATCGGAACTTCCCATTCTTCTTTCTCATTATGACTATTGGTGCGGACCAAGAACTCCCAGAAGGGAAAATTACATATTTGCTTCCTTGGTGTGACTATGCTCGATGCAGGCTTTATCCCATGCCATCGTCAAGATCAATCGGGCAACTAACTCTCCTCTGTATTCACCTTCGACTGATCCTACTCGGAGAGCATTGATGAGTGCGCTTAGGTAGTGTGTTAACCCGATTCTATTAGTATTATTTGTTATATGAGCCAATGCTTCTGCTAGTACTGGATCCGATGGATAATCGACCATAACTGTCTCATGAGTATCGGATAGGTAATAGCACAAACTCATATAACTACCAACAAGTTCCGTGGCCAATTCAGTCTGGGGCACAATATCGATACACAATCGTGATCCAAGGACTGCAATAGATTCTGATATTGTTATTTTCTTGTTATGGTTCCTCGTGATCCAATCTTCAAGGTCAAGACCTCCGATCTTTTCAGGACTTAACACTTGCTTGCTTGAGTAAGCATCTATAGCTTTGAGCAATCCACCCCAAAGAGGCCGCCCATAGCGAAAGAAGTATTGCGATGAGGTCACTTGCTTTAACGTCTTTGGTTCTGTTGCTTGTGTCATGAAAGTGTTCAATGTGGCAATATGATAAAACGGCGGATACAGGGCTAACCTGTACTTCTGAACACGATAAGAAGGGTCACGACGAGCTGATGGAGCAAAGTTTGATATTTTCGATGCTGTATCGGTGACGATAGCAAATGCACGGCCACCTGATTCGTATGCAGGTAGGGTAGCCAGTGCATGTTGCAAACATTCGAAATTTGTTTTGTCACAGTTTGTTTCTCTTTCAGTCAGTATTTTGGCTTCATCGAATACGAATAATAATCGTATCCCGCTTTCTGGTTCATCACTGTTTAACGTTTCTTTCAAAGAATCCCAACACATCTTGACTAACTGCTTGACAGAATGCCATTTCGCGTCATCATAATCTTTACTGTTGCCGATTATATTTCGAACCTCGTCCATGCACTTCTTCATTCCCTCTTCAATAACATTCCAAAATTCCGCCTGATTACCCAGGTATGGGCTTTGAACCAAGCCGTCTTGTTACCTTTAAAGTTCGTTAGATGTCTCATTGTCGAACAAATGAATGTAACATACGTGAATGATGCTGTCTGATCGTCAACGAATGTACCGAGTTTATCTGAAATAGTTGATTGAGGAGGGATACCAGATGATTTTTTTGTTGCGAAAGCATACATAAACCGTATAGACGTGCTCTGCAGCTGCCCATAACATTTTTGACTTCCCTATGGTTGATGCTTGCGCCAGAGCTACCAATGGTGAATGATATTTTACTGTGTCCCATTTATTTAATGAATCGTTTATGTGATCAAGAAAGGTCCGAAGAACTCCATGTCTGTCGATATATGTTTGCTCAAAAAAAGCGGCCTTGGTGGCTGTGCTACCGTCAACGTCGAACGCGAATTGTTTCGCTAACAGGAGCAAAAAAAAGAAGTATAAGTTAACCAACATTAATGATGTACCAGATTTTGTCAAAGAAATGCCAACCTTTATTGCTTGTTTCGAAGTTATCAACATTGCAAACAGCATATCAAAGTTGCTCAATGGATGGACGAAAACAGATATACGGTGATATGATAACATTAACTATGTTCCATTGTATACTCCCCCAACTCGTGTTTGTAATGCATTCCAACTGCAGTGCGTGTTGTAACAGCATTCGAACTATTCTCCCTCCGTTGCTCTTATTCTACCTAACCCAAATGTGTCATATCTTGCTCATTTATCTTTCAAACGAGTTTACGTATAACCTAACCTTTGCCACGACTCCGCTCTACGTCCCAACCCCAACCCTATGTCGTAATGCATTTCAACTATCTCCCAATAAACGGGTATTCATTGCTTGCTTACCCTGTTGTGTCTTAAGGTACTCTTCGTATATTTTTTCATCAGTGGCGTTGGGATGTTGTCTAAGATATTTTGTAGCAAATGGGTCCATGTTGGCAACTTATGAGAAGGAAACAAAGAACGTGTGCGCGTTTATATCTTGCTGCGTATCATGGGCGTTATATCATCAGCTTTGGATCACTGAGTCACTCCGACTATCAAGGTCACAAACATTACTCACATATAGTTAATATTAACCAATTCTCATTTCTCTCTTTCGTAAAAAATTTTATTACTTGGTAGAACTAAAAAAAAAAAAATTTCCAATTTTAGAAAAATTTACTCCGGGCAAAAGAATACAAGAATAGGAAAATCAGTGCCATGCCCAGTTCAATTACGTCATTGGAAATTATCAAATTCATTGATCATTATAAGAAAAGATTGATGTGTGTAACTTACCCCGAATTATTTGAAGACTTAACACCAAGTTTAAGTTTGACACACTCTCATTTCCAAACATGTCTTACTTGACAAGAGACCAACTCGGTAAGTTAAACATCTAAAGTTCTTTATGCAACAAAAGTTCAATCAGTTTTTTAATGCGACCACTTTGACTTCCGTGTCTAGACAACTACTTAAAAAGTCTAAGTACAAAAGCTGCAGCCGCTAAGCCCGCAAACTTACCACAGTCGAAGAGTCCTGTTATTACAGTACCGCCAAACACGCCGCTAACTCCGCTTAGTCCGAACCAGGATTCTAGAAACAATAGCTCGACAGACTCGAATAAAATCCCAGAACTTGACTCTACGTCATTAGCAAGTAATCGAAATGACCCTTCGGGACTGTTATCTTTTGAGTCATCAACCAAAGAAAATCCTATTGCCTCAACTGACTCGAATTCTGACAATAACAAAGAATTATCGTTCAAGCCCTTATCAAATGCATCATCTGTTTCTAATGATAAGAAATACAAAAATATTGATGACATAGTAAACGATTTATCTTATCCGATGCAAAACAAGTTGTCTTTTTCACCTTTGTCAAAGAATAATAAAAATGATACGCCCGATATTGTGTTTCCATCCGAAACGACACGGGATCCAGCTAATACTTGGAAAGATGATACACTGCCAAAATCAAAAGGTGAATCGAAAGGTACATATGTTTTATCGGCAGCGTTTAAATCATATAGCACGGCATCAAGATCACCATCTATTAATAAACCCACATCTCCGATAATACCCACGTCAAAAAAGAGAGATTCATTTTCTTCCTCAAAATCAAATTCTCCTCCATTTCCGCCGACTACTAATACTGTGACAATATCGTTGCAGCAAAATGACTTGGATAAATTAGAACAAAAATATCCACCGGTAGAGAATCTCGAGAACCCTGAACTAAAGAGTAAAGAGGCAAAGTCGAGATTTCCAAAAATTGAAGATTTTGAGAAACAGGACCTAAATCTTAATAAAGAGGTAGAACAACATTTCCCCCCAATTGAGGAAGATCGAGAGGTGGAAAAAAGGTTTCCGGCTATTGAAGAACTTGAAAAGGATGATCAACAGAAGAGTAATGAAACTTTGTCTGCTCAACCAACGTCCGAATCAGATGATCCTGTTATTAGATTCAGAGCAATATTAAATGCCGAAAAAGAAAACGAATCGAAGACAGCCTTCGAAAAAGAAGATAATCAACCTCCATTATCTGATGATAGAAATTCTATGCACTCAGAATCGACGACAGTTTTCGAGAAAGAAGATAATCAACCTTTATTATCTGATGCAAGAAACTCTATGAAGTCGGAATTAGAGGAAACGGGAAGTCTTCCCGATTCATCATATGCATCCGAAGTAGAGGAAACAAGAAAATTCTCTCCTGATTTATTAACATCTGACAAGTCTAAAAACGGAGGAAATGAGGAAAACCTATCTCAAGCTGATAATGCTAACTCTCGTCGAACTTCTCTTAATAATACCACCGATGCCTCACGAATAGAACCAAAAACACCATCTATTCCCCCGAATCCAAATAAAATATCCGAAACTTGTGCTAAATGCGGTAAACGAATAACGGGAACTATATTGACGGCAATGGGTCGACAATGGCATCCGGAACATTTTGGTTGTAAAAAATGTGGAATACCATTGGAACATGTTGCGTTCTTTGAGAAGGATGGTGATCCATATTGTCATTTGGATTATCATGAACTGTTTAGCCCTCGTTGTGGATATTGTAATACTCCGATAGAAGGGGTAATATATCCTATTTCAATGATATATATAAGCATACCTCATTTGTGTTATTAATCTTCGATAATATTGTGAATAGGATTGTATTAACGCACTCGGTAAATCATGGCATAATGGACATTTCTTTTGTCGTGAGTGTGGTGAACCTTTTGCAGATGGTGGATTTATGGTGAATGACGGATTCCCTTATTGTAAAAAGGACTGGGTTAAATTATTTGGTAATGTTATGTAGCAAAAACACGGATTTTTTCCCTCCTCAACACAATTTCTCATTCTTTTTTATCGGATTACCTTTCTAATAGCTCCTAAATGCAAAGGTTGCACACAACCTATAAATGGCGAATATGTCAATGCATTGAAAGGGATGTGGCATCGTGATTGTTTTGTCTGCGCGGTTGGTTTATATTTATTTTATGGTTGAATTGCTCATTTTGATATTTTATGATATTAATATTTCTTTTATTAAAATTAGGCGTGTGAGAAGCCATTCAATAGTTCTTTCTTTTACGTGCATAACGAAAAACCCTATTGCGATAGCCATTATCGTCAAATACTTGCATTAGCTTCAGAGAAGGTGTTATAGAAGATTATTTGGTGGGGTAACTACCTTAAAGAAGAATATATAAACTGCATTATTCACTTGCTGCGATCTTGGAACAATTTTGAACAATCTTTTATGATTATAATTACGCGTTTTATATTGAATTTATACCCCGTTTTTATGATACTCGTTCGGGGATGACTTAGTGGAATACAAAAATAGCTTCTTTGGGTGTCATTATTATAAAGCGTAGACACTAGAGCCTATAAGTTACCGATAAAATAAATCATGCTGTTAAATATTACCCTCTCAAATTTGTTATTTGTTAATAAAATCATCGCAGATCACGCGATAAGCGATGGGGATGAATAACAGTTTTACTGAACCAAATTTCCCAATTTGGGTTCTGAGGTAAAAGAAGACAAAATTACATTTAAAATGTCCTTTCCGACATAATCTAAGACAGATTTATCTCGTAATATCACTTTTTTCATCTATTTTGAGTCGGGTTATTTATTGACAGAAATTTGCGCGCTCAATAAAACTGGTCATTGATTTTACCCAAATCCTACGGACGGGCCAATGCCGGATAAAATTTATAATCGGTGGACTTCCTAATCAATTATTGTCAATAACCAATAAGAATGCACAGATTTTTTGATCGACCTGGCAAACCAAATTCGACTCAAAGATCACATAAATCTGACTTTTTAATTAAAAATGTCGGGAGTTACCTTATTCTGACTAATGAAAATTCAGATTAGAAAATTTGAAATTTGGTTCATTAAAAAACTGTTTCAAATCGCAATGCAAGATGAAAACTTTTTGATAGAACACAGTATATAGTTTCATAGACAAAATTTCATCCTTGGTTGACTCCTTAAAAGCGCATTACTTTGTTACCACCTATTATAAATTTCGGCACTGACCCGGAAAGATCACCTGGTTCAGCACTGTCCCGAAATCAGATTTGGTTCACGAGCACGTGATTATCCGAAATCATGAAAAATTAAAACCGGTTACTTAAACTCACTCTCATCAATAATCTTTATTGATATCATAAACAATACTAATAATAATTATTATATATCAAAAAACAAATATATATTTTATTTTCTATTAATATTTTAAATTATATAATAAAATATTAATTTAGATAATATTATATTAAATAAATTAATATAATATCTAATATTTTACTAGTTAAGTTAATATAAATCAGATAATATTCATACAGATTGTAAGATTATTTTGTTAATGATTGTAAACAAGATAAAATATGATATAAACAGTTTTAATTTTATAACTTATGATT